TTTTATTTATTTATTCCATTATTTACTTTTTTAATTTTTTTTCTTTTTAAAAGAGAAGTCTGGTTTCTATGGTGCAGAAGGACATGCATCCAAAATGACTGATCTTCTTGGACGGTCCAGAGCCGATAGCCTCCAACTGGGATTAAAAAAGGCTGCAGGAAAGATTCCAGGTCTTATTTGACCCTTGTACACCCCTTTTTGTCTTTGACGACCTCTGAACCATTATAGAGCCCACTTCAAAAAAGCTGGGGAAAATACCAAAACCACAGCAAATAGGCATTTTTATTTTCAGATGAATTGATACTTACCTCCTCTCGTCCACTGGAGGTGCAGGTTCCGTGTGACTGCCTGGCCATCTGGAGATCTCTCCGGACGTGGATAACAAGATGTTGAAATGCCTTCTGAGCTCCGTCAGGACAGACTGACGGGGTAACTTGTGCTGGCCCTCCATCTTCTGCCTGATGGCTGCTTTCATAAAATGAAATAGAAAAAAAACGTTTCTTAAGAAACACTGCAGATGACACAAGTGCACTGAATTAGGTGGGAGACGTAGAAAGATGCCGTGTCAAGTTCACAGAAAAAGCTCAAAGTGGGCAAGGGATTGCATGCACAGGATGGCGAAAACAGATCAAGGAAAAACTCTGGGAGGTATAAAGTGTGTCCGTCCTCAACTACCCCCCACAAAAAAGGCCAGAAGATGGCATACAAGGCCATTCTTTATATACACAGCCAGATACGGCACCAGGTCCAAAAATCAGGAATTTTCTCACTGGCCTAAAATGACATGGAAACCAGTAATGACAGCTACATGCTGACAGATTAAAAAAAAATACATACATACATACATACATACATACATACATACATATATATAATGCCTTTAAATTACAAAAGAATTGAAGCTTTTCTTTAAGATCCATTGCAAAGATGGGCTTTGTGACACAAAGATTCAAGAACCACGTCTGTTTCATCCCTCCATCGAAACACAAATAAGAGAACTGCGTTGAGGGACGCAATAATTTTGTGCATGAGATACAGACGACGGCGTGTATTAAACACAATAGGAATGAGGGAAACTGGGAGACACAGTGTATCTGAACTTTGGAGGCAAACCAATAAGAAATTAAAATGAAAAATAAAAGACCTCATCTGTAAATTGTGAATAATACACACTGGGTTGTTGCCATCAGTAAGAGGGAGAAAAATTTTTATAAACACTAATCAGCGTAAGGTATTATTAATTAACTAGAGCTGATTTTCATTGGTAAAAAATAATAAAATAAATAAAAGACCTTCCAATAGAGATTATGCAATCCATACCGACAGAGTCTAGGAGACGCATATTTTCCACCATCACGTCCACGTAGAGTTGTTTCTGAGTGAGGTCCAGCAACGTCCATTCTTCCTGGCTAAAGACCACCAGCACATCCTCGGTGATCACCGGTTCCTGAGAGTACCGGACACAGGCTGGGTCAGCAAGGTATCGGGTACATATGGACAAGAAAAGAGGGGGAGGCTCGCATCCCAGAGATTTCACACAAGGTTGTATGTTTGGCCAAGTTCTTGGGACTCTAGGATTGAAACTATGCTGTTGGTTGGGGTTTTTATTTTTGGTGCCGAAACCCGGGAAAGAACCACGCTGGGTTTTGGTTTTTTTAAAAAAAGATATAAATATATATAT